GCTGCTGTTTTGTGGGAGGCCATGTACGCCTTCGCCCTGCTGCCGTGACGGGATCCCTGGTGGCCACGTTTCCGTGACCGATTAGAGTCGTAAAGAAGTATGCCACTGGTGAATTTGGCTGCGAGTGGGTGGTGATCAAGGAATCACATTTGCTGTGACCGTTTTCCCCATCAGCTCACTAGTACTTAATAAAACTACTGCGTGGAGAAACAGATAAAAAATAAATCATTCCTACCTGCATTATCTCTGATGTCCCGTCAAGCTCATACCTATTTATGTTTGGTCTTGTGAGGAAAAATAAAGCATTAGATTACTAAATCAGAACACTGTAATAACTTTCTGCGATAACAGTTTCAGTATTTGTGGTTCAAGGTAACATTTCCACATAATCTTTTTGCAAACCTTGGTAGACAAATCATGGCAAGTGAAAATGGTTCTTTCTATCTTTCTAAAAGGTTTCAGTTGTTAATAAGGAGTTTTTTAGCATCTGTTCATATAGTCAAATTTAGGAGTTTTCTGACAATTTATTGTAATTTTCCAGCTGTTAAAATAAGTACAGTGAGTACAGTGAACTCATTGTCACGCCCAAGAAACCAGTGTGAGACATGAGCTTTGTGACATGACATGTGTTCTGATTTTTGTAATTTTACTCATCCTAATAAGTCCATTTTTCCAGCACTATTGCATTCTTGTATGTTTCTCCATGTTATGTGGAGGGGTTGGGCAACCAAGACTGGTGTATTATTTACTTGTCAGTGTTTAAATCATTGTTCATACTGTATCTTGACGCCCCATGTTACTGTAGACCTTGTGATAATTTAGTGACTTCTTATTTGCAGTAATAAATAATAAAGCCTTCGTCTGAAGTCGATTTAATATTTTATTGTGCATTAATGTGCATAACCTGTATAAGTAGGACATATATTTGGGGTAATGGACCCATAGGCTGAACATCGGCTGTTCTAATGCATAATGTTATTTTTGGTAACTTCCAACATTCATGTTTGCCCAGCATGCATGAGAGTGGTCATTATGCAAAAAGCTGTGCTAATCATTTGTCATTTATATAGCTTGCATAATGTTCCTGGAGCAACACTAATGGAATACACCTTTCAGTAGAACAAAAACCCAAAATGCAATTAGATGTAGAGGCAAGTTATATAGTTGTATCTGTCACATAAATCTTTTCTGAGATCATTTAAAATATTTGTAATTTTTTGGTTTTATTACGTGAACTGCAAGACTGATTGTTGTCTTCTCTAAAATTTGGAATGTATGCTGTTTGTTGTTGCACTAGACTTGCAAATAAACATTCATCTAATTTATGTCTGAAAAAAGATCTAATGTATGTTTAAATTTAATCAGATCTAGTGTAAAGATTTGTCTTTTCAAAAAGTCATCTCCTGAAATCCTGAAGTCTTGGTTGTGCAGTGACATTTTAGGCGACAGTGCATTTGTATAGTCTATTAATGTGCATTTGATTATGTAAGGTAGCCCTGACCACTGACTGCCATGCCAGCAGTGCTTAGTCATAACATGCCTCACCTGCAAAGCCTCCCATCCTGACAACTGCAGCCTGATGAGAACCTTCATTGCCAAAACAATGAAAGGGACAAAACTGAGAAACGGGTCCATAAATGAAGTCAGAGCGAGCAGAGGGGAAGCTAAGCCTCATGCCTGCTTTGTTTAGCCTGGCTTATTCATTGTAATCACCCAGTTGGCTGAGATTGACATAAGCCAAACAGGTGTCGTATAGAAACAAAGGGTTCTGTACTAGGCTGGACTCACAGGGCTGGACTCACAGGACTGGACTCACAGGGCTGGACTCACAGGGCTGGACTGACAGGACTGGAGCTCAGGGCTCACAGGGCTGGACTCACAGGACTGGACTCAGGACTCATGGGCTGGACTCACAGGGCTGGACTCAGGACTCACAGGGCTTGACTCAGGACTCACAGGGCTTGACTCACAGGACTGGGCTCAGGACTCACAGGGCTGGACACACGATTGGACTCTGGACTCACAGGGCTGGACTCTGGACTCACGGGCTGGACTCACAGGACTGGGCTTAGGACTCACAGGGCTTGACTCAGAACTGGACTCAGGACTCTCAGGGCTGGACTCAGGACTCACAGGGCTTGACTCACAGGACTGGGCTCAGGACTCACAGGGCTTGACTCACAGGACTGGGCTCAGGACTGGACTCTGGACTCCCAGGGCTGGACTCTGGACTGGACTCTGGACTCACAGGGCTGAACTCAGGACTGGACTCTGGACTCCCAGGGCTGAACTCACAAGTTACTGACCCTGACACAGTTACTTATGGTCAGTTAACACTTTTATTAATTACAGATTCTAAAACAGTTCCTTGACTGCTGAAGCTACTGAGAGGCCATTTTGAAATTAGATTGTTGTAATGGGACATATTTTTTGTGCATATATGCACTTAGAGCAGTTTACTTTTAAGAAAAACAATAATTAAAAGGAAATGTTAGGCTGTAATCATTGATAGGTGTGACATCTGGAGCAGTTAATGTCTTACAACCCAGTCGAGCATAGCTAATTATGGCTGAAATGAAAAACAGCTTGGTTCCCAATGACACTTTACTTACAGCAGTATGTTGTTAGCTACAGTAGCACACCAAACGTGCAGTTAGCTAAAATATATATGAGGTGAGTGTAGTGAAACACTGGCAGGAAAATTTGTAAGCAGGCCTAAATGTTTTTTTTCCCATCTGCAAGGAAAATTCATGTCACCGTTACCTACATGATGACCTACTACAATGATATGAAGTCACTATGGTAAACTTATAAACCAGTGACATAATTCCCTATTATCATTATGAAGTATTATATACTGTACATAATTGTATGTGCTATACTTTCGTACGACTGGCAACGTAGTAGGTTTGTTTACACCAGTGTCACCACAAATACTTACAATCTCATGGGACCACCGTCGTCACTCGGTCCGTCGTTGACTGAAATGTCGCTATGCAGTGCATGACTGCATGTCTATACTTGGTTCACCTGGTGAACAGGTGCCAGAGAGCGAGCTGTACATGCATCACGTCCAGGATAAACTGCTCCTCATGACGTGTCGAGGGGCCATGCAGAAAAGGGTTACTTTTTAATTCTTTTTTAAACTATGTAAACCTAAGTCTTGCTACATATTTGAATACCATTCGAAATTGGCAAAAACATGAACGCGTGGATCCATCCTGCCTTGTATCATCAACTCATGCTGCTGCTGGTGATGTAATGGTGTGGGGGATATTTTCTTGGCATACTTTAACCCCCCCCTTCTTTTTTATACTCCCTATTTAATATAAAGAAGACAACAAGCAGAGATTAGGGGAGACAGAGAACAAGGGTGTTGGGAAGTAGTATGGGGAGGGAAATAAAGAAAAAGGACCACACAGATTGGCACAAAAACACGAAACGAGGAAAAAAATGATAATAATAAAAATATAAAAATAAAACAGCAAACACCAACAACAAATCATTACACTCACACACACGTGCATATATATGCGCCATTGTCAACATATGGTTGATGTTGCCATTGTTGCTGTTGTATCACGGTTGCAGCTGCAGTTGTTATCAATGTTATTGTTACTGTTATTGCTGTTACTGTTGTTGTTGCGTAGTGATAGGCGAGGGATCACTACGCAAATGGCCTCCACAGTCAGCAGATATCAATCCAGTGGAGCGCCTCTGAGATTTTGGTGGAACTGGAGAGTCACCTCATGAAGGTGCAGCTGACAAATCTGCAATAATTGTGTGATGCTGTCGTGTCCATATGGACCCAAACTTCAAACACCTTGCTGAATCTATGCCACAGGGCGGTCCAACCCAGTACTGGCAAGCTGTACCTAATAAAGTGGCCAGTGACTTGTGAAGGCACAACCCATTTCATTTTTTGACCTTGATTTCTTTAGACCAAGAGAATAACACAACTTTTGCCTGTGAATTCACCACCTTGATTACTTACTTGAATACTTGCACAAATAAAGGATGCTGATTGTTGGAGACCTGCTCAGAGGCAACATAAAATATTTCCTCCGAAGAATAACGCAGATTGAACTCCTATTCAGCTCAACACAAATGGAATCAATTAATAATTGGCTTCATCTGTAGGGAAGATTAGTTATTTCATGTTAGCTTTTGTGTGATCGTGATTTTTTGCTTCACTACCTGGAAATGTATTCTTAATTACCCAAGAACCTCGTTATACCTGGAGCGTTAAAACGCTAGGATGGAAATAATTCCAAATCATTTCCCCACTCCGAGCAAAAAAATAAAAACGCGAGTGAATAACAAATATGTTTTTCCCTCAATCACGGAGACAGCAGGTGCCCTTCATCATTTTATCCCACCTTGTGCACCAGTGACATCTTTTGGAAATGTAGCAAAAATCCTATAAAATACTTTTAAACATGTCTATTCACCATATACTATAGCAGGATCTACAAGGCAGCCCATCACTATACAGAACCTATGGACTGGAGGTTAACCCTGAAGGGTACTATTCAAATAATGATGTATATGATAAACAGCACTGAGGTGAGATTTTAATTTATTTTGTGATCCTGCAGACCTTACAGTGTGTGTTTATGGGCTACACTTGTGATTGGCTTCAGGGATTTGGATTGAACCAGCCATTGGAAAACAGTAATTTTGAATTTTAAATCACTAGAGCTCTTCTTAGTTAGATTTGAGGTATACTTGTGAAAATTGTCTTGCTGAGAGTGATGGCCATAACCTCCTGGCAGAGTGAACCAGGTTATAAGCACAATGTCTTGGATGCTCACTACAGTTCAGGGATCCTCTGATCTCAGTTAATTCAACCACCGTATTTCTTTGCAGGTGTATTATTTTTGACATAAACCTCCTTCTGGCAATAAACCCAGAACTTTCGATGTACATGGTGTCTTGTCAGAACATTTTACTAACTTCTGCTGATGTTTTTTTCTGGTTATCCTTTAAAAAATGATTAGCGTGGCAACAGCACCTAGTAAGTTTGAAGGATGTGATGAGCTTAAGGATGCAGTGACGCTTGCGTGTGGAGAAGAGGGCGGAGCTTAAGGATACAGTGACGCTTGCGTGTGGAGAAGAGGGCGGAGCTTAAGGATGCAGTGACGCTTGCGTGTGGAGAAGAGGGCGGAGCTTAAGGATACAGTGAAGCTTGCATGTGGAGAAGAGGGCGGAGCTTCAGCCGCCTGGGCAGCTCACTAACACTCCAGTGGATTATTGACTATATGACCCTGTGAGTCCAGGATGCTAATTCTGATTCCTTTTTTGCTAAATCCCATTTAAAGAATAATTGTGATGCATATTTTTTAAAAAAAGATTAGTTTTTAAAATCTTTCTTTTCCTCAGCAATTGTGTTAGAGTAATATTGCACATTTGTGGCCATAAATATAGACCATTAGTTGTTTTATTTATTGTTCACAGCATTTTTTGTTCATATCTGAATATCTTGGAGTTTACCACATACATGGCGGTAATAACTTATCTGTTGTAATGCGATATCTGGACCAATAATGATGGCTTGTCAGTTTTAAAAAATTAAACTTGGAAATTTTCATAAAAAAGAAAGATAAAACAGCTGCAGTGTTTTTGTCAGAGTGAAAATGAGTAAAACATTTCATGCATTACAATTATGGCCAATTACAAGAAGTCAAGTGTGCCTGAGCTGGGAGATTTAAGATATCCACTGCTGGTTTTGCTAATGTGTTTAACTGACAGCTGAGATTTATTCTCATGGCAGAGAGAACAGCAATGGGACCAGAGTCTCAGTGTCATGATGCACGGCTGTAGATTGCCCAGGGGAACACTCCATTAGGCCAGTGTTTCTTCAGGGACCCCTCGACAGTACACAGTTTTGGACCCTCCCTACTGGGAGCGGGGTCGGAGCATAAGTGTGGGCTGTCTGGCTTTGAGGAAGCAAAAATGTGGACTGCCTGGGGTCACTGAAGATCCAGTTGAGAATCACTGCTTTAAGTGGTGCGGCATGCAGCCCCTCCTACAGCAGCCCCCAGGCTGTGCATCCTGTGATGTCCTGCAATGCCTGGGCTCCCCTGCACAACAACAGGATTAAATGGATGCTAAAAGGATTATGGGACAGCACATCTCAGAGACACCAGGATAGAAAGCCTTCTGACCCACGTATCGGTTCGTTCTTTTGGCACCTTATGTACAATCATTCATGATCTGTCTCTGTCAATATTGACATATTCCCGTTTGGCCAGTAGAGGTTGCTGTTCATCCCATTTCCTTCTCCTCTGGTTTCTGTTTACCTTCACCTGTTTCCTATTACCTGTGGTTTCTAGTGTTTGGTGTATTGTCAATGACCCACACTTGTTCCTAATCTACCCTCATACCCTCATGTAAGTGCNCACCTGTTTCCTATTACCTGTGGTTTCTAGTGTTTGGTGTATTGTCAATGACCCACACTTGTTCCTAATCTACCCTCATACCCTCATGTAAGTGCCTACCCACACCAAGTTCCTTAGTCAGTCATTGATAGTGCTCAGTATTGGTTTCTGCTCGTGGTTTGTGTCAGTGTTATCAGTTACCCATGCCTTTCCTGTGTTCAGGGCAGCCCTTGTCCCTCCTGAATTTTCCTCCCGGCCTCCTGTTTTGACCCTAGTCCTTTGGTTTGTGCTTTTGTCCATTTGTTTTGGTCTGGAAATGAAGTCCCCTATACCTTGAGCTGCACGTGGATTGGCACACCTTCTCCGTGTTTAGTTGTGACACTACTGTGTAACATCCAATCATATTTATGTCCCATAAGAGCTTTTCTAACATTTATCAAGACATAGTGGATGTTAGCAGACTTATCTTACCCCATGTGCGGCATGCGGCAAGAACCAAAACAAACTGACTGCGAGGCATAATAGAGGTTTAGTGAAATGCTTGTGATATTGTATCTTATGTTATGCCATATGTTTGACCTCTCTCCTATAATAATAATAATGCAAATCACTGGATATCTGTATAGAAAGTACAAGACAATTTGATGAATTACAACTAGCATTAGTGAATTATGACCCCTTTGCAGGAGGGTGAAGCATTTCTTTTTTAAGGTGTGATCATGTTCTACTAATAATCTGTTGTCTAATCAGTGCATTATATTTGTATTTCAGGCCTGGTGTCTCAGACTTTATGTGCCAGTGGCAGCATGCAGAATTTAAAGATCTGGGGATGTTTGCATAAAGTTAACTTATATTTCAAGTTTCAATATTTGGCATAAAGACAAAGAAAGGGTCTGATAAGGCGAGCAGCTTTGTGCGATTGTAGGATCAGCTGGTGATTAATTAACTGGAGAAGCATGTATAGGTGCATATTGCGGCGCCCTAACGCAAACCCTGCTGATACAGTACGGGAACACTGACAGCAGTCAGTGCTGGTTTGTGCGTAAGTGCAGTGATTTGNGTGCATATTGCGGCGCCCTAACGCAAACCCTGCTGATACAGTACGGGAACACTGACAGCAGTCAGTGCTGGTTTGTGCGTAAGTGCAGTGATTTGGATCAGTGCTGCCACAGGGAGTTTTCATTGTATTAGCAGAAACTGCCAACTCAGGGAAGGGTCCTCAATTATTTAAAAAGTACAAATAACAGTGTATTAATTTGCATAAATCAACTTGTGGTTAATCCCATAGGCGACATAAGCAAAGTAAGTAAGTAAAATTGGCTCACTCATGCTCAAGGACGTGACAAGAAATTCTAGGCCCCCTGACAAAACGTTACCTTGCCCCCCCCATCCAATTTTACGTGTTCCAATAGAGCCCCTGTCAAGTACTGGCGTCCTGCAATGGCCAGGGCATCCACGCCACTGCGATGCCTCTGACTGTGGCCCTAGAAGCACAGGCGTCCTCTGCAGTGCCAGCAGAGAACAGTTATGTGATGTGGGGGGGTGGGGAATGGTGTCCAGGAGGTTTGGTTAGCACAGTATGACCAAAACATTTTAAGTGAAGTGGCGACAAGAAGAAGGCCAACATTTCAAATTGGGCAGAGATTACTAATAGGGCCGTCAAACTACTTTTGTGAAACGAGCTAACTAGTTATCAGCCAGATAGCCTGTGCTACTGAAATGCTTTTCATATAAATTAATTGATTGAATTTTTCTGCTGCTCGGAGTGATGGGAGCTGGAAGGGGGTTTCCCCCGCAGAATTTCACCTATGGAGTCAGAACAGCCAGGGACCAGGGCCGGCCCTGCCTTTGGGGAATCAGAATAATCATAGTTAGAGTTATCGCCATCAAACAGTAATAATGCATTATGACTTCCAAGCACCTATTTTATTATTTTATTATGGTCAGTGGCTCCCTAGCTGCCGGACGATAGAAGCAGGGGCCCTTGGGGCCAGCTCAGGTAACCCTGTACATTAAAGCGCCCACGAACGTCGTCACCCTCCCTCGGTAGAAAACCATGCCAAGTATGCTGCAAGCACCTGTAATTTGTCATAGTTTAATTATAGGAAACAAAGTTGTGGGCTATATGGTAACCCTTTACATTAACTTAACTGCACCTTCATAATGCCTTGATAATGCATTTGTAGAACATTCATAGACGGAGCTCGTTAGCCTTGGTAGGCAGTTCGTCTAGGAGAAGGAAAACTCTGATTTCAAACCACAGCGCCAGGTGTGCTG